TAATATATTAAAATGATATGAAAATATTAAAAAAATATTAATTTAAAATTAAAAATATTTTTAAAACATGAAAATAAAAAAAAACCGAGGAACAAGAACAAAACATGATAAGCTAACCAGATGATAGGTATTAAAACATGTTTGGCTAGCAGACATACTTTTCCTGCTGTCTCGTTTTCCATCATTTACCCACTAGTCCATCTCGCACAATAATAGATCAAAGAGAAGTTTTGCACATATATATTATAGTTCTTAGATGCAACCTGGTACCAATTTAATATTTAGATTGGAATGCGAGTTTTTTTAATTAAGCTAATAGTTAGTTTTTAAATAAAATGATATTAATTTTTTTTAAAATTTATGAAATTCAGTCAGCCAAGTTTTAATGAGATGAATCTTCAAATTAGCTAAACTAAATTTTTATATCAACTCATCAAATTATACTAAGTTTACGTGCTACTTTCGCATTTTTTATCGAGTGATACATCAAAACTAAACAATTTTTTTATAAAAATTTTGTGATTTTACTATAATAATGCTTTGGTGGATCATAAGTAATTATATTGTTTTTGACGTGGGCAGGCCATCAAGTGGTGGTTCAATGAATCCAGTGAGGACTTTGGGGCCAGCTGTAGCAGCAGGAACCTACAAAGAAATTTGGATTTATCTCGTGGCACCGACACTAGGAGCCCTAGCTGGTGCCGCCACCTACACGGCTGTGAAGCTCCGGGAGGGTGAGGCTGATCCACCCCGTCAAGTCAGGAGCTTCCGACGCTAGGAGGTGTATGTGGGGTTCTGCTACTATTGATGGTGTGGGACAACATGATACATTGCACTGTTAATATCTTCGACAGTTTGTGAAGAATAAAAAGGTAATGTGACTCAAAGTCCACGGCCTACAGTGTGGTTGAATGATGTGGTGCACTTGGAGCGGTGAGTATCATCTCTCCGGTCATCATATATATATATATATAGATACAGTATTGTGCTTGATGTAGAACTTATCTTGTGAGATCTGATTTTCCTGGGCGAGAAAGATATCTCACAATAATCTCTGTCTTTGTTATTTCTCGTTAGAATTGTTATGTGTAATACCCCAAAACATATATAGAATGAACACGCGAAGATTGTATGTATTCATCTTTGCTTGGTGCCTTCATTTCTGCCCATGTCTGGTTCATAAGGAATTCCCAAAGGATCTTAAGAAAATGGACAAATGGCGTGGAGCAAAATGTTAATAGGTGTGATATATAGATTATTAGGTATTCACCGTAAAAAGAAATTAGCTAGGGGGATGTTTATTTTGGGTAAATGTTTTTCCTGATTTTTTAAAATATTTTATAGAATATAACTAGTTAATATAAAATATTTTACAATTAATTTATAAACTTCTTTCATTTATATATATATATATTAATGTTACATTATACTAGGATCGAATCAACATTAACTATAAATCACTTTCACATTTATTGAAGGGTATTTATTACATTCATAATTCCGAGCTTTGATGTCACTCTGTTTAAGAGACTTGTCAAGATGACATTACGATTTTATTGAACGAAGTACTTGTGTGCAATTTGCATGCATGCAAGGAAACTCCCATCCCACTACATGCCAATTGAGTGTTCTCATCTACATGGGTGAGGTTCAGTATAGCTGGTCTTAATATATATATATATATATATGATTTAGTCATTTCATGGTGCTTAAAAAAGAAAAAAAGAAAATTATATCCTTTATTAATTTAAAAATAATTAATTTAAGAGACATTAGTTCAGCTAATAGAGGTGGACGGAATGATCTAGTTGATAAATAGATGAAACATCAAAGAGGTAATTGATAAATTATATATAAATATTTTAAGTCAAATTATTTTTAAAGAATTAATTGATAAATTATCTATACATTGAAAGAAAATTAAAATTAACAAAATACAAAGTAAATTTCCATTAGTCCTGCTAGTAGAGGTGGACGGAATGATATAGATAAAACATCAAAGAGGTAATTGGTAAGTAACAGATTTTTAGAATTTTTTTTATATATAAAACTCATATACTTCAAAAAGATTAAATGAAATTAAATCTTTCTTTTCCCTCCCTGATGGTTAGAGGTATGTATTCTCTAGTCAATTTGTTTGCCAAAAATAAATTTAAATGGATAAATTTACTGCTGCTTCTATACTAATTTAGTGTTATTTGGCCTTTTTTGGGGCTGAATGCACTTTATTAATATAGTCTCTAATTTATGAAAAATAAAAAACAAAGAATGGACAGAAGCTCTCCGTCAATTCAAACATTTTTATGGGATTTTTGGGTCACCTAGGTTGGATGGTTATGGAATTATTTATTTTTATTTTTATTTAATTTTTGTGCGTGAACATCTTGAAAATCATAAAAAAAATGCAAAATGCAAAATAAAAAAAATAAAGAAATATAAAAAAATATATGGGTTTGAAATTGTATTGATAATGGAGCATCATAGGCAAAAGTGAGGTTTGATAATTTTTGAGTCATAATTGAGGTTTGAATTGAAAAGAAAATTGAAGAAAATGGCTTAATTGGATTTAATTTGACTAAGAGTGGAAACACCAAGGATGATTTTGTAATAATTTGTTAAATTTGAAGGAAATAGATTGATTCAATTAGGTACGCAATCTAAAAGAGAAATGAGATTAAAGGATTTTAGAAAAATAAGGACTAAATTGAAATTGCAAAGATCAAATAATTTCATTTCGGTCCTATGTTTTCAATCCAGTCAATTCAGTCCAATTAAACTGGTTTAATACAATTCAGACCCAAATCAATCCCATTTCAATCCAGTTATTTTTAATTGATAGTCTAATTAAACCCCAAAATCCAGCAATTACAAGCAATTAAACCAGAGATTACAATCTTCTAAATTATAGCTCTTTAAACCTATTTATTCTATTACAAATCTTCAGCAACCCAAATTTCAGCCCCCCCAATCCCAAGATTCCAGCTTCAAATTCCCTCAATCAAGCCCAAATTGATTTCTTCAAATCAATCCCCTAAGATCAACGAACCCAAAATCACCCTCCCTTCGAGCCTCCCTAGCTGTGAACCAAAACGCTTACTAATTTACAATAGCTACAACAGTCCCGGATTTTACCCAAGACCGAACCAAAATCACCTCTGCCAAGTCAGCCTCCACTCAGACGGAGCATTCATCAACACAGAACCTCTCAAAAACCCGCAGACACCATTTTCACTTAACCCGAGACCAGCACTATCGCCTCCAAGCACCAGCCTTCTCTCCAGCCTTGCGGCAGGAAACCATCATATAATTGCAGGTTATAAATGGCAAGTGAACACACGCGGGCGCAATTTCATGTTGGTCAAATAGCTAGCGCGTGGGTTGCGCACCACATGGGCTCGTGGTATTTTCCGGTCATTTTTGGTCCGACTAAACGGAAGTTTGATAAAAATATCTAATTTAACTTTAAATGGTGTCGTTTTCATTAAGAAAATAAAAAAAATATTTTTTTAATTTAATCTTAAATGAGATCGTTTTTCATTAAAAAAATAAAAAAATTAAACAAACCAAAATGATCATCTAACATCTTTCTATTTTCAATAATCATTCATTGAGACTTATTAATATCACTAATACTGGTGTTGATCTAAAAAAGCTAATTTATACAATTTTTTTCTACAAATTTGATAACTTTTTCACCTTATATAAATAGAGATACATTTCATGGTTTAAGCAGGAAGAAAATCAAGTTTAAAAATCATTAAAAATCAGCTTACTCTCCTTTTTTTTTCAACTAATGTTTCTCTCTTCTCTTTCTCTCTTCTTATTGCTTCTTCATCACCTGAAGACTTTAACCATTGTGAACTCCATTCTCTCTCCTCTGCAAACCTTTTTCTTCTTTGTCCTATAGTTGATTTTGGCCACCATTCCCTTAGCCGACGCCTCCTGAGCCACCAGCTAAACCAACTCCACATCTGGACTACCACTCTGCTAGGTGTCATTCTTCCTTTTCTTCACCCTCTTTCTGCTGCATGAACAGTGTACCTAAGTTAGGCCTGTTATGGCTCAGAACAAATGTATGGGTCAGTCCCAACTCATAAAAATAAAAGAAAAAAGATATGTTGGGCTGAGATCATCCTAATCCTTCTTCGAGTTGAGCCCAGCTCAATTAGTTAAGGCGGACCAACCTATATATTTTTATTTATAAAAATATAGACAACAAAAAATTCAAAAATCATTTCAAAAATATTGTGATTTTCTTAAATACTTTTCTACTAATTTTGCATAATATTGTAATATATATTTACATTGTGAAATACAAATCTGATATTAAAATAACTGATTTTCTCTTAAATATTTCAAAAAAATTCAAAACATTTTAAAAAAATCTCAAACACTTTTAAAAGGCAGGGAGAGGGCGGTAGGAGAGCACCATCAAAGAATAAAATGCCAACAAATCTCAAACACATCGCGACGACCTTAAAAATATAATTCATGGAAAGAATGAATTTCTGGCATCCAGTTTTTTAATGGGAGAATGGTCTTGTTTGAGGAGTCGTCACCTAGTATTATGGTCACTAGGAACCCTAACTGGTCAACAGAGATTCTATGGTTCGGGACTGGTTACGTAAAATGAAAGATATTATCACCCCTTAAACGTCCTGCCTGAGGCAGGCTGCATTGCTAGTTTCGTCTTAAATTGCTATATGTTTATTAGTTTGTGCTATGATAATTTGCTTATAATATCCATGACTCTGGCGTCAGTGAATATTTAACTACAGATATTTTCAACTCTAGTGTTAGTAAATATTACGCAGCTATAGAAACAAAATAAATCTAAATCAATATTTGTAAGGTCGTCGCGATGTCCGGGTGTGACAGAATGGCGACTCCACTGTGGACCTTAGGACTAAGCTTTGCTATTTGTCTTTTTTATTACTAAATAGTTTTTTGTCATACCGTTTTTTCTTCCTTCGATGTACGTGTACATCTGGCCTTATAAAAGGCAGGGAGAAAATACAGAAATGGGAGAGGGGGGCAGGAGAGCACTGAACAAACCAGAAGAGGGAGGGAACTAGAGCAAAATAGAAAAAAATCAACCCAAAAATAAAGAGTTAAGAACGCAAAAATCAACCCAAAAACGGAGCAAAAAAAAAAGAAAAAGAAACAGAGCGAGAAAAAAAAGAGTCAGAACCAGAGCAAAAGCAAAACAAAAAAACTTAGAGAAAGAAGCAATACACAGAGAGAAGGTGAGGAAAAGAAACCAATATACACGTGTAAAAAAAAAAGAAAAAGAAACAGAGCGAGAAAAAAAAGAGTCAGAACCAGAGCAAAAGCAAAACAAAAAAACTTAGAGAAAGAAGCAATACACAGAGAGAAGGTGAGGAAAAGAAACCAATATACACGTGTACCACTTGTCACGGGGTCAATTTTTCACTCTAAAAAACAGACCTCGCGCGACAGTCTAGTCCCGCTAGACTCAGCCTTTTCCTCACCGATTCACTCATGTTTTACCTACGACTAGTTTGTCCCACAAACCCAAGAGATCCTCACACTTTTTCAATGTCCCAAGCAAACGGAATAACACTAATGAATATGAACAGAATTCAAAACACTGCAGATTACAGGAACAAGTCCCAACATTTTCATTAACTCAATTAAAGGATTACACAAGGTCCATCTTGTGTGTTATGCCCATTTCGTTCTTGCATGCCACAAATTTTATAGCCTATCTAATTACAAGATAATGTAAGTTACAGGTATAAACTGCCTCTAACTTCCTACACAGCTGGAGCACCCATTATCCCATGTTGTAGCCACTTTCTTCCCCACATAAAAAACTACCGCAACTGCTGATAACTGCTTCTAAAACTGCCGCAACTGCATTGGCATGTTCTCCCATAAGCCAACTGCCCACTGCTAGCACACATGCTGCCAGCGTAACTGCCTCGCATGCCTTGGACTGTCCGCTGTCCAAGTTATCGTCAGCCCCCGCTGCCGACTTCCTCGAGGCTGCCGATTTCACCAGTGCTGCCGAATTCCCCACTATCCTACTGTGTCATCCCAGCACTGTTTCGTCAAGGCCTTGAACAATCTTTGCCCAAGTCTCAACTCTCGTCAGCTCACTACTGTGTTAGTTGTCGTGTGCTGCTGCACA